CGTGTTGAATTATATCATACAAAAACATTCAGTTAGACCTTACTGTCTGGGGACAGGGGAATTCTATATTGAAGGATAAGAAGACCCCAGAAGTGTTCAAGGAATGTTTAACCACCCATGGACACTTCAAAACGCATGTGTATGAGTGCTAGGAAATGCCACACAGGACGTGGCACAGAGTAACAGGTAACAAGTGTCCCTATCTCACTGAGCTTCTCTCACAGAGGTCAGTTGTCCTCTGGAATTGCACTGCACTGTAAAACAGCCAGGGATATCTTCATGCTCCTTGTCATGAATCTGCATGAAGCAAGCCCTAAGGGAAACACAAGACAGAGCAGATGAGCCTCCAACACTGGCCAAAGAGACTCAGCTTACTACAGGCCCAGGATGGAAAAAAAAATCCTCAAAGGAGGATTTTCCCAACAGCCAGTCATCCTGGGTAAACATTGATCATGGCAAGGCTTGTCATTTCTGACTCTGGCAGTCATGAGGAGCATGCAGAGATGCAGACATTGGGAAACAAAGCCTCACATTATCTAGGTTACGGAAACCATGAAAGGAAGTCGATGAACAAGAAAGAGGCTTATTTTACTGATCCAGGGTACCTGATGCCCAGACTCTTCTGGCACTGTTTGGAACAGTGCACACAGATATGAGAAGATGATAGAGTCGTTAACAGACCCCCCAAATCTTGCTCTGGAAATGGCAAAGCAATCTGTGCTGGAAAAATTGATACTGGCAAGTCCCCGGATGGACTGGGTATGGGGCCTTACCCAGTGAAGTTACGAGTGCAAAGTTCTCTAGCAGGACTCTGAGGTAGAGCTGCCTCTGAGCCTCAGCGAGCAGCCTCCACTCTTCCTTGGAGAAGAAGATGGCCACATCCTCAAAGGTCACAAATTCCTGCCACAAGGGGAACAGACCTTTCAATTATCAGCTCTCTTCGGGTGCCAAGTTCATCATCCTCTTCCCCCAAGTCATTCTTCCCCTGTATTCCCTTCCCTACGCCCAACCACAGAGAAGATAATTGGTGACACGAATGTCCACTCATGATGGTTCCATCCATTACTATATCCTCTGAAAGCAACCCACGTGAAACAAAACGTAAAACTTCAGCTTCCCCTTCCAGAAGCTGTTCCTCTCTCATTCCTCAGAACATGATATCCAGAGAGTCAGAACACACACCCTCCAAATGCCTCTCCTCTCACAAATTAGGCCAAGCTGCCCTGCATCTTGCTCATGGGTGCGTTTGTCCTGTCTCTCCGGGGCACAGTTAAACAGCTCCACTGTGCCGTGGCTTCACAGCCCCTCCCTCTCAAAGCGGCAAGCTAAACTCATTATCTAACTGAGGACCGGGCTCCTTAGTACTTCAGTGTCGTGGGATTGCCTGCCAGCCCTCCAGAATCAGGAAGTCAGACACCCCCTTATTTCAGAGGATTTCTGTGCAGGCTTTTCCCCACAGAGTTGTTAACAGACCCCCAAATCTTGCTCTGGAAATGGCAAAGTAATCTGTACTGGAAAAATTGATACTGGCAAGTCCATGGATGGACTTACCCAATTTAAGTTACAAGTGCTTGATACAGCATCCCTCTGATGGTCCCCACTGCCAGAGGTAACCCTAGTTCCCTTCTCCAGCCCTCCAGATCAGTCTGTTTCCATGAACATAACAACACATGGAAGGCAAGCTCCTTTATAAAGAGAAGCAGCATCTTTTGCTTTGTTGCTCTGTAGGGGCAAGGTCTCTTTGGTGATAGCCTTCTTGCTCAGGGTCCTGAGTCAAGAGAGCAACATATGGTAATAGACAAGAAGAAAGCAGGGCATGTGTGTGCATGACCTCTTTTATAAAGACACCGGGATTCACCCATGGGTGAGAAGGACAACCTTAACGAGTTAATTTCCCCCTACTCACTTCTCAAAGATTTCTGCCTCTAAGCCCCTCAGCCAGGTAAGTTTCTACGCTCCTAGTATCTGACACTGACTTTATATCCCAATACATGAAGCCATGGGGTTGGACGCACCACCATTCAGAAATCACAGTACGCTCTCTGCTTGACTGTTCAATGTTTCAACCTTAGCCCATCGGGAAAACCTGCAGATCTCAAACACACATCACCTTCTTAACTTTGTTTAAGGTAATGTAGCCTCTTTAGTCACTGCCTGCCCCTTCTCCTGTCCTCATCCAATGGCCTGTCACAGTGTCCTTCTACATGAGGCCCTGTTACTCTTTCAGACCTAACTGCACCTCGTCAAACACACTAAGGGTGACACAGAATTCCACTCGATCTAAGACATGCTGAATCAACATTATTCTTAGTTTTGGGGCCCCAGTTTCTCCTAGGACTTCACACTGATCTTGAGTCCTGACAACTTGCTATGTCTCACCCTCCCACCCCAGGCCACTTCTGTCCCAAGGCCACTTCTGTCCCTGTGATTCTCACGATGCCTACTCACCCACATAAACATAACCCTCCAGTGAGTCCCCCGCCCTTTTTCCCCCAGTGTACCTAAACTACAATGATGCCTAATTGCTACCCGAATTCCATCCTAGCTCGAATACTTCTACCACTGCCTTCTGAATGACTCCATCCTCAACTTGCATTCACCGTCCACATTTCTAGTCTGTGTAGTTAACCACACATTTGGTGTGTCACCATATCGATCTCTGTTCCGTAATGGCCAATAACCGTAACACACCCAGAAGAAGCTATCTAAAACGTTAACACTCCCACACCTCATTTGCCCTGGTTTCCAGCAGATAAGAACGAGTCCATATACAGCCCTCAATCCGAGTGTAGGGTTCCTGTACATAAGTCTGTTCCGGTTGGCAGTCCAAGTTTGGACATAGAATCCAGAACACAGATCCCCAAGACACAGAATGGGAGCAGCTCCAGCAAGGCCCTAGAATGGCCATGAGAACATGTGTGAGCAGATGTGAGAAGCCCTTGCCCATGGTGGGGGCTCTAAGTGCACATGCCTCCTCCTTTCTCTGCTTTCCCTGCTCAGCCCTTAAGCCAGGTGACCTGGGAAGAACTTCGTGATGGCCATGTCTTGGTCCTCAAATTCTCAGTGCTCCCGCCTTTACTATGTAAATTTGCACAGGGGTCCAACTTTTCCTAGGATTCTTCCACCTTACCTTTTCCAAACGGTTTTACCTCTGGATAGACAGCATAGAAAACTACAAAAAAAAAAAAAAAAAAAAAAAAAAAAAAAAAAAAAAAATAGAAGAAGAAGCCAAAATCGGGCTGTGTGCTTGTTCAGCTCTCAACACTGGCCAAGAGCCTTTCTGCTGTGAATGCTCCCAGCTCAGCACTCGACAAGGCCCTGACTCTGGATTTGGAAGTGAGGACCCATCTGGGTCCTGCACTGTTTTGATCA